AAGTGGTACATTTTTTTTGTTCTTCTTTTTTTTTTTTTTTTTTGCAAAAAGTGTGCCAATTCTGTAGTTACTTTACAAACTTGCCCACTTGTTTGTTATACTTTTTAAAAAAAAATTTTTTTATGGATTTCCTGATCCATATATTGTTTAGAAACACAAACATGGCAAATGTGGGAATCCTCATTCGAAAATCTGTTCAAACATACTTGTGACTCATAATGTTTGGATTGTTCAATAAAATCCACAATTGTTTCTCTGTGCCATTTTCATGTTTGGTGATGCCAGATTTGAAACGGGAGATTTCAACAGTGGAACCTTTGTTTTTGAGCCCCTAAAAAAATAACAGCTAAATGCGCTCATGGCAACAATTTGTGATCAACAGCAACAACCAGGCATACAAACTCTATTCCAATATTTTATTTTAAAAGATAACTTTTCTATATGCATCTATCTTTTAAATATTGGGCCAGTTAATAAAGCCTATGGCAAACATTCAGAAAGTTTGCATGTACAAATTCAGAAACACAGCTCTGAATGATGCATAACATATATTTGAGTCTCTAACTCTAAAGGCTTTAGTAAATCTGGCTATTGCAATAGTAATACAAGTCACTATAAAGAAGGTCTTGTTGAGATTAATCACTGTAATGCAAAAACTGCTTGTTTGTAGATATTTTACAGTAAATATGCCATATTCTTCAGATCAATATATATTTTGAAATGCAAAATATTGTGATTACAGTTATATATCATAGAAGTCATAGAAATGAAGGGTATAGATTAAAATAGGCATGTCAAGGTCATGCATATAAATAAATCTACAGCATTCAAAAATAAGGATATTCGGCATGCGATCATACTTCAGGAGTACTTCTGGAGCATGAATTCATCTAGACAATCACCTGAGATTGTACAAAGTTCTAGAAAAGGGGAGATTTGACCTCAGGCGTGAGAGAATCTACAGTATCTACTGTAACATTCAGCTACAAAGCACAAGCCTGTTCTAACTGTATCGATGAGCATATACAGGACTTTCCAAATAGGTTCGGATACAGAATAATAAAATAAATACATAGAGCAGTAATTAAATAAATATAGTAACAATTAATAAATTAATAACACTTTATAATGGGTGCTTGAATGGCTTTGCATGCTTTTTCATTGATATAGCTTTTTAAATAAATAAATTCTTGCACTAGGTGGGAATAATAAAAATATGATGCTACAAATAAAAGCTCAGCTGGATTAGAACCATTGCTTAGGCTACGTATAAATTAATCCTGATACATTTGAACGTTTTTTTGTTACACTGGCATTTTCCAATAGTTTCACTTCCTCAGTAAAACGTTGAAAAAAAAACCTAACTTGAAAAAGTGATAGTTCACCCAAAAATAAAAATTCTGATTCAAAAGAAGAAATTCTGAGGAATGTAACCAAATTGGCCATTAGTATGGCTTAGTATGGGGAAAAAATACTGTGGAAGTCAATGGCTACCGGCAGCTGTTTGGCTACAAACATTCTTTAAAATATCTTCTTTTGTGTTCAACAGAAGAAAGAAGCTCAAATAGATTTGGAACAACATGAGGGTGAGTAAATGTTAACAGAATTTTTTATTTTGGGGAGAACTATCCCTTTAAATCATCTTAATATGCGTGCATAACTGAGCTGATGTGTTTCAGCTCACTGAGATGAATCCGAGAGACCACATATAAAGTTCTCACGCTATTCTTCGTGCACAATCATTTTCTTAGCAAAATATTTCACCACTTAATGGTGTGTCCAGGTCGCACTCAATTGCTATTTCATGTATGGCGTCTCAACTGTCCTCATGATTTGCTGCAGGACAGCAATTGCGAGTAAATTTTTATTTTTGCAGTAATGTAATATAAAGATGGTAAAGAATGTAATATCTTTAATGTGCAGGTGAATAGCACATAGCTGGCACATGTTGGTATGTATAGCTACAACGTGTCACATGACTAAACGTGTCAAATATCATATTCGAAAATGTCCATTTTCACATTGCCATGTGAAAACGTTTTATTCCACAAATTTATGTGGCATTTTCAAATGTATCGACTATCGTCAGAATCTTCTAAAAGCTGTTTTCACAGAACAAAAACAGCACCTCAGTGGGGACGAAATGCCAAAATGTTGAGAAAAAGACATTTTCAGATGTATCTGGATTAATGTAGATGTAGCCTTAAAATACACTAAACCATCTACAGGGGATTACCAGATCTTCTACCTTCTACCTACCAGTTTACACCTTAAAACACAAAATGTGACAAAGCAAGTACAGATTTCTGGTGCTTTAGGCTTTTCTTCTGCTTCCGGCTGCATGAAAAAAAAAATCTATAGGTTTTGCATAGCATTTTAAAACGTAGGACTTTTCTTGAAGCGCATATGCAACATTAAGCACTTGCATGTTCACACTGATGAGCAAAATAAAACACCATGCAAGCTGGAGATGAACCATAACAAGTAATATGAGGAACACAACAATATTAGGGTATAAAACTGTGAAGCTCACAAATAGTTTGGCTTATATTTTGGGCAGTTTCTTGTTTTCCTGTCAATCCCAGGCTGATAACTGTGGCAAAAGGGGCAGTGCATCGAATTTTGTGAAATAATCAGCGTAACATTTCAAAGATGTGGTATGTTTCACAAAAATACCTTGATGGAAAATAGACTTCTATATCAAGAGGTCAAAGTATGGCAAGGAATGGCTTTTATCTGGTATCATACCGATAACATCTCAATTATTTATTTTGCATGCAAGATAAGTAAGGCTTTTTAATCTGGTCTGCAAGCTCCAGGAAATAAAGGGGATGATGCAGCAGAGATCAGGTGAGGAGTGTCCAGGGTTGAACTAAGTGCCACCAAAATAATAACCCCACCATCTCAAATAAAGAGTGCAATCGAACCAATACATGAAGTCTACGTATGGCAAGGAATGGCTTTTATCTGGTATCATACCGATAACATCTCAATTATTTATTTTGCATGCAAGATAAGTAAGGCTTTTTAATCTGGTCTGCAAGCTCCAGGAAATAAAGGGGATGATGCAGCAGAGATCAGGTGAGGAGTGTCCAGGTTTGAACTAAGTGCCACCAAAATCGATAATAACCCCACCATCTCAAATAAAGAGTGCAATCGAACCAATACATGAAGTCTATGCAGTACAGTACGTCTAATCAAATCATTAATGTGAAGCCAATGTTGTTCTTGCACATTTATAGTCTGCGTTCCTCTCATCAATTGTGGTTTTCTCCGATTCCCACTGTTACATTGCAGGTCTAGCTGATATTTTCTCTAAGGCATACTTGTACAATCTTCACCCGGCTTTGTGCTCTTTAGGGTAATCGTAAACTGATGTGCAAATCTAGTAAAATAGTATTATTATTTAGCACTCATTTCTCAGGAATGTAAAGGTGCTCTGCGAAACAAAGGTTGCTTTTCTGACAAAGTTCTTCTCATAAAGGACTTTGGATATTTGCCATGGTTAAAGGGTATCCTCGCTCACATATCCAGGTTAAAAGCTCTCATGAGTAAGTCCAGGTCTCCTATGTTAGCAGCTTGAAAGAGCTCCGGCTGGTCCAGCATGGACAGCGCTATCCGCAGGGCCGCCCAGATGCTTCCAGACATGACCTGGTGCGAAAGCTGCCGACTCCTGCTCTTCCTCTGCAGGCTAAGAGCCGTCAGGAAATTACTGGCTGCCTCCCTGCAATAAATAAGCAATTAAATAAATAAAAAGGGTCTCTTTACATATATGGGCACTTTTGGCCCTGTGGTCATTCAGAAAATATTTTTCCCACACATTTTTAATGGTTTATTTATTTGTCCTTCTACAACAGTGAACATATTATGCACATAAGAATTCAGTTATTTTTGTAAAAAAAAAAAAAAAAAAATTAGATGTAGTTAATGAGGTGCATATTTCCACTATTTTTTTTAAATTATACATTATGTTTAATAGCATTTATTATGAACATTGTACACATTTTTTGCAATAAAATGGCAGGCTCATTTGGCTTGCTAAGGCTAATTTTATAGCTTAAATTGTATGCATTTTAAATACACAAAATTAAATAATATTTTCACATATTTTGACAAATTTGACTGGAAATCATGAACACTAAAAATTTGTTTACAAGTGATATTTACCCATTTTTTTTATATATTACCTGCTGTTTACCTATATTTTCTTCTATGAAACAATGAAGTCAGGTCAGATTTTTTGCTTAAAGAAGAGCTCTAATTTGTGTAGAACTATCTAATATCTTTGTGTAGAACATATTACTGTATGTTTAGTCAAATAAAGGCAACTTTGGTGAGCAAGAGACTTTTTATCCTTAGAATCCTAATTTTGACCGGATATCTATCTATCTATCTATCTATCTATCTGATTATATGGCTTGTACAAAAGTATAACTTTCAAACTTCAGGCTCATCATTTTCGTAACTAAATCATAATTAATAATACTTTTATAATGGAGTTTCTTATTTTAAAGATTAAAAAGCTAAGTGTGGGCCAAGAGTAAAATAATAAAATATGCATAAATGCATTTGAAAAGCAGCTCAAATCAATTCTGAAGGCATTTAATGTGACCCTCGTAAACAAACAAAAAACTGGGACACAAAAGCTCCAGCAGTTGAAGAAACACCCATAAATCAAGGAATAAATGCTTCCTTATTATGCTGCATTTAGTCCAACAGAACCTCAGGATCAAAGTATTTAAACAAAAAGTTGGGGGATATATTTTCCATAATTTTCAGGTCAAGCCCAACTCTCTGTCACAAACCTGTGAGCGCCCATGTTAATGCAGCTGATGCCGAGGTTGTAACGTGAGCGGATGAAGCCGGGCTGCAGCTCCAGGGCTCTGGTATAGGCCTCCACAGCCTCCTCGCTGCGATCTCCATTAGCCAGCGTCGCCCCCAGTCGATTCCACAGCAGGTAGTCCTGTACACACCAACGGCAAAAAGAATCCCTTCCGACTCAGTGTCACGGATCAAAATAATTATCGCTCTGCGCTTCAAAGATTACGCAGTTACATGCGACTGATTGTTAATACCATTAAGATATGATATGCTCTCTTTCTTTTAGGGATAAAATATGACCTTTAAGTACAGTGACACTGCATAAAACAGAGGTACAAAGAAGTTGCCTAGTTCCTAATGTCACAAGGAGCCTGGTATCAGAGTTTCACTTCCACATTTCCATTATCTTTCATCGTATTCACGCTCTGAGCCCCCCAGCAGGCAAGCAGACATTACCAAGTCCAAGCAGATGGGGAGGATTTTCGATTGAGTGTAAATGCAGTCTACACAGGGGGACAGAATTTGGCTTAGCAAGCATCAATCGTCGACAAGGTGACCCACAGGGTTCTGGAGTCAGCACTCATGAATGGTAAAGCTCCCCTCAAGTTTCAAATGAACTGTTTCAAAGATTTCCGAGACACTTTTTAAGCCCCCGTGACTTTTTCTCCCTCTGTCCTTTGCCCTCTGCCTTTAGGGAGCGTTTCTGTGTGATTTAGCCCCAGTTTGTCAGTCGAGTACACTGAGAAGGGATTTACCTCCGGCCGCACTGACAGCGCTGCGTTGAAGGCTTCCACTGCTTTGTTGAACTCGGAGCTGAGGTTATACAGCACTCCCAACCCTGTCTGCAGGTCTGGGTCGATCGTGTCCGAGTTGTGCTGGGCAGCTTCCAGGTACAGCTCCTTCACCTCGGGCAGCAGGGGGCTGGAGATAAAAAGGGAGAGAGCGCAGAGACTCAGAGGCATTGTCCTTCAGGGACGTCCCTACCAGAAACATCATCAAAATGTGTCATTTAATAGCTAAGAAAAAGGGAAAGGGGCTCTCTAGAGAGAGATTTAAGTTGTTGGTACCAAAAATATTCCATTTAGGAGGGATTGAAGTGCTACATGCAGGAGAAAGTAGGAATTTTTGCAACACTGAGTGCAGTTGTAAACCTGTCACTTTAGCAAGGTGACCAGACGTGCCACTTCCCAGGGACACGTTTTGCACAGGATTTCTAAATTGCCTAAAATAAGAAACATTACTTAGGCTACATCTACATTAATCCAGATACATTTGAAAACACTCCATACACACTAGTGCTTTCAGGGATCCTCACTGAAACGTCAGAAAATGCTGGTAAACAGTTGACGTTAGCCACTGACTTACATAGTAGAGGGAAAAAAATACTGTGGAAGTCGATGGCTACCAGCAAATGTTTGGTTACCAACATTATTTGAAATATCTTCTTTTGTGCTGAACAGAAGAAAGGAACTCATCCATGTTTGGAACAACTTGAGGTTGAGTAAATCTTTCATTTTTGAGAGAAGTGCCCCTTTAAATCATCTTATGCGTAAAACATAGATATCTATAGGTAAAATATGCGTCACATGGCTAAACGTGTCATCATTTTCGAATACGTCTGTTTTCACATTTCACCTTACAACATGAAAACATCATTTCAGTTTTATCCACTCTGAGAGCATCTTCAAAAAGCTCTGTTTTCACAGCACAAAAACACCACCTCAGTGTGAACAGAAGGCCAAAATATAGAGAAAAATATGCATTTTTAAATGTATCTGGATTAATGTAGACGTTGCTTTAAAGTACAATAGACCATCTACAGGGTACTACCAGATCTTCTACCTTCTACCTACCAGTTTACACCTTAAAACACAAAATGTGACAAAGCAAGTACAGATTTCTGGTGCTTTAGGCTTTTCTTCTGCTTCCGGCTGCATGAAAAAAAAAATCTATAGGTTTTGCATAGCATTTTAAAACGTAGGACTTTTCTTGAAGCGCATATGCAACATTAAGCACTTGCATGTTCACACTGATGAGCAAAATAAAACACCATGCAAGCTGGAGATGAACCATAACAAGTAATATGAGGAACACAACAATATTAGGGTATAAAACTGTGAAGCTCACAAATAGTTTGGCTTATATTTTGGGCAGTTTCTTGTTTTCCTGTCAATCCCAGGCTGATAACTGTGGCAAAAGGGGCAGTGCATCGAATTTTGTGAAATAATCAGCGTAACATTTCAAAGATGTGGTATGTTTCACAAAAATACCTTGATGGAAAATAGACTTCTATATCAAGAGGTCAAAGTATGGCAAGGAATGGCTTTTATCTGGTATCATACCGATAACATCTCAATTATTTATTTTGCATGCAAGATAAGTAAGGCTTTTTAATCTGGTCTGCAAGCTCCAGGAAATAAAGGGGATGATGCAGCAGAGATCAGGTGAGGAGTGTCCAGGGTTGAACTAAGTGCCACCAAAATAATAACCCCACCATCTCAAATAAAGAGTGCAATCGAACCAATACATGAAGTCTACGCAGTACAGTACGTCTAATCAAATCATTAATGTGAAGCCAATGTTGTTCTTGCACATTTATAGTCTGCGTTCCTCTCATCAATTGTGGTTTTCTCCGATTCCCACTGTTACATTGCAGGTCTAGCTGATATTTTCTCTAAGGCATACTTGTACAATCTTCACCCGGCTTTGTGCTCTTTAGGGTAATCGTAAACTGATGTGCAAATCTATTAAAATAGTATCATTCAGCACTCAGTTCTCATGAATGTAAAGGTGCTCTGTGAAACAAAGGTTGCTTTCTGACAAAGTTCTTCTCATTAAGGACTTTGGATATTTGCCATGGTTAAAGGGTATCCTCGCTCACATATCCAGGTTAAAAGCTCTCATGAGTAAGTCCAGGTCTCCTATGTTAGCAGCTTGAAAGAGCTCCGGCTGGTCCAGCATGGACAGCGCTATCCGCAGGGCCGCCCAGATGCTTCCAGACATGACCTGGTGCGAAAGCTGCCGACTCCTGCTCTTCCTCTGCAGGCTAAGAGCCGTCAGGAAATTACTGGCTGCCTCCCTGCAATAAATAAGCAATTAAATAAATAAAAAGGGTCTCTTTACATATATGGGCACTTTTGGCCCTGTGGTCATTCAGAAAATATTTTTCCCACACATTTTTAATGGTTTATTTATTTGTCCTTCTACAACAGTGAACATATTATGCACATAAGAATTCAGTTATTTTTGTAAAAAAAAAAAAAAAAAATTAGATGTAGTTAATGAGGTGCATATTTCCACTATTTTTTTTAAATTATACATTATGTTTAATAGCATTTATTATGAACATTGTACACATTTTTTGCAATAAAATGGCAGGCTCATTTGGCTTGCTAAGGCTAATTTTATAGCTTAAATTGTATGCATTTTAAATACACAAAATTAAATAATATTTTCACATATTTTGACAAATTTGACTGGAAATCATGAACACTAAAAATTTGTTTACAAGTGATATTTACCCATTTTTTTTATATATTACCTGCTGTTTACCTATATTTTCTTCTATGAAACAATGAAGTCAGGTCAGATTTTTTGCTTAAAGAAGAGCTCTAATTTGTGTAGAACTATCTAATATCTTTGTGTAGAACATATTACTGTATGTTTAGTCAAATAAAGGCAACTTTGGTGAGCAAGAGACTTTTTATCCTTAGAATCCTAATTTTGACCGGATATCTATCTATCTATCTATCTATCTATCTGATTATATGGCTTGTACAAAAGTATAACTTTCAAACTTCAGGCTCATCATTTTCGTAACTAAATCATAATTAATAATACTTTTATAATGGAGTTTCTTATTTTAAAGATTAAAAAGCTAAGTGTGGGCCAAGAGTAAAATAATAAAATATGCATAAATGCATTTGAAAAGCAGCTCAAATCAATTCTGAAGGCATTTAATGTGACCCTCGTAAACAAACAAAAAACTGGGACACAAAAGCTCCAGCAGTTGAAGAAACACCCATAAATCAAGGAATAAATGCTTCCTTATTATGCTGCATTTAGTCCAACAGAACCTCAGGATCAAAGTATTTAAACAAAAAGTTGGGGGATATATTTTCCATAATTTTCAGGTCAAGCCCAACTCTCTGTCACAAACCTGTGAGCGCCCATGTTAATGCAGCTGATGCCGAGGTTGTAACGTGAGCGGATGAAGCCGGGCTGCAGCTCCAGGGCTCTGGTATAGGCCTCCACAGCCTCCTCGCTGCGATCTCCATTAGCCAGCGTCGCCCCCAGTCGATTCCACAGCAGGTAGTCCTGTACACACCAACGGCAAAAAGAATCCCTTCCGACTCAGTGTCACGGATCAAAATAATTATCGCTCTGCGCTTCAAAGATTACGCAGTTACATGCGACTGATTGTTAATACCATTAAGATATGATATGCTCTCTTTCTTTTAGGGATAAAATATGACCTTTAAGTACAGTGACACTGCATAAAACAGAGGTACAAAGAAGTTGCCTAGTTCCTAATGTCACAAGGAGCCTGGTATCAGAGTTTCACTTCCACATTTCCATTATCTTTCATCGTATTCACGCTCTGAGCCCCCCAGCAGGCAAGCAGACATTACCAAGTCCAAGCAGATGGGGAGGATTTTCGATTGAGTGTAAATGCAGTCTACACAGGGGGACAGAATTTGGCTTAGCAAGCATCAATCGTCGACAAGGTGACCCACAGGGTTCTGGAGTCAGCACTCATGAATGGTAAAGCTCCCCTCAAATTTCAAATGAACTGTTTCAAAGATTTCCGAGACACTTTTTAAGCCCCCGTGACTTTTTCTCCCTCTGTCCTTTGCCCTCTGCCTTTAGGGAGCGTTTCTGTGTGATTTAGCCCCAGTTTGTCAGTCGAGTACACTGAGAAGGGATTTACCTCCGGCCGCACTGACAGCGCTGCGTTGAAGGCTTCCACTGCTTTGTTGAACTCGGAGCTGAGGTTATACAGCACTCCCAACCCTGTCTGCAGGTCTGGGTCGATCGTGTCCGAGTTGTGCTGGGCAGCTTCCAGGTACAGCTCCTTCACCTCGGGCAGCAGGGGGCTGGAGATAAAAAGGGAGAGAGCGCAGAGACTCAGAGGCATTGTCCTTCAGGGACGTCCCTACCAGAAACATCATCAAAATGTGTCATTTAATAGCTAAGAAAAAGGGAAAGGGGCTCTCTAGAGAGAGATTTAAGTTGTTGGTACCAAAAATATTCCATTTAGGAGGGATTGAAGTGCTACATGCAGGAGAAAGTAGGAATTTTTGCAACACTGAGTGCAGTTGTAAACCTGTCACTTTAGCAAGGTGACCAGACGTGCCACTTCCCAGGGACACGTTTTGCACAGGATTTCTAAATTGCCTAAAATAACCAGGTTTTGAAACCGCCAGAGCGATTCGAAAGCATGGAGACGCTCTATAGCTCTCACGGTGCTTTGATGTCATACAACGATCGATTGTCGCAGCGCAAACAACCAACACCTGATTATTTTAGGTAATTTAGAAATAATCTGCAGAACGTGTCCCGGGAAGTGGCACGTCACAAAAAAATTAAGTTGAGAAAATCTTTAAAATAAATGACCATCATCCTCTTGACGCGACGTTAGAAGTTAGAAGTTAGAAGTCCCTGTGTACAATTATAAAGGTTTGCAGGACATTATTATTATTTTTTTTTCTCGAAGTTTGATGTAGAAAAATTGTTTTATTGTTTGATGTTTTAGAATAAAATGTTTACTTTTTAACTTTTTTAATTTAAATGGAGTGGAGTTTGGGGAAGGGATTAATGGGGGCTGGTTGGTATAAAAAAATAAAGGTTATTAATATAAAATAATGATCATATTAATAATTGAGCATTAATAGTAATTAAGCAAAAGAAATGACCATTTTAGAATGTTTTCTGAAGTATTGTGTAACACAAAAGAATGAAG